CTAAACGTAGAGTTTATTCCGCCATACAGAATACATCCAGGCCGAGGATGCCAAGAAGACAGAATTCACGATGACATTTAATCCTGGATTTACAATAAAGGTAGGCGAACCCTATTGACTTACACAACCCACTCTACAGACGGCGAAACTCGGTACAACAGGCATTAGTGAATGTACTCAGCGAGGCAATGCGTGCTTTAAACAAACAAGTAAGTTCAGCACAACCGTTTTTATGAAACAGCTAATACGCAATATTGCTCTCAATAAAAGGCTTTCGTATCTTCTCAGTGTACTGTAATGTCCTCCAATGGCCTCTTTGTTATGCATGTATTTTAGCGACGTCCAAAGCGCACGTCGTTATCAATGACAAGTCCAAATGGGACTCGGTGGACTTCTTGGTCGGCACAGTGGCTAAGGCAACCATCACAATTGCGGACTTGGAAACAGGCCACGCCCCGGCGGCCCCAGCGGTCGAACCATCAGGATCCCAAGGGGCAAAAACCCCACTCAATCAAGAAAATGTCCAACTTTCATGCGTGCCAACAGTAAGTTTAACATTTTCGCTTAAGCGTAACGCTTGCAATTTAACAACAGTTTACAGGGCATCTTAGTTTGCGCAATTTTTGCAAGTTTATGCAAGCTACCGCATACACTATACTTCTTACTTTCCTTCAGGCAATGAAACTTAAAAAGGACGGTGGAACCCCTCCAGAAGCGGTGGTAGCCGTTACTTCTACGTGTACAGCTCATGCGAAGGATGCGACTACACCAGAGGGATGCATTTCACTAACAGACCGTAAAATGAACTTTGTTGTTTATACATCTTGTATTTATTGTTTTCAGTTTCCCTCAACACATTACTCGTCTTACCTCTCACTTTCCGTTACAGCTGTCCTTAATGTCGATGTGAAGGCCGCCATCGAATCGGCAGCACAGCCGCTTACGCTGGAGGGTATGGTCGACGGCGAGAAACTAGAATTCAACATGCCCTTCACCGGCAAATGCGGCACAGGCTCTGCTTCGTGGATTTCGAACTCCGTTTCAGTCATTCTCACCAGCCTGGCCGCCGTGCACCTCCTGCAGTAGACGCCGACAAATGCAACTTATCCTGCGGGATGCAAGAGGATGAAGTGTTAGCTTAGATGTAGTCAAATAAAATCCTCTGCAGTTGCGCATCTTTACTGTTTTATGCCATCTTTAAAAACGGTGTGGGACGCACTTACTACCTCATGGGATAGAGCTTTTACCCGCGTTTGAAGAAAGCGCTTACAGAAATATGAGCTCTTCGCGTCAAAACACAGTATAAAGGCAGAAGTCAACGCGTTCTATCCGCATGTGTCTTTAAATATATCGGTTTAGTTGATGTGGCCTTTATCAGATACATTTCCTGTCTAGGGACTGAATATGGATGTTTGGACAACTGTGTATGAAATGCATTCTTGTAGATGTGACGTAATTTATGGGCAGTAAGCACTGATGCTATTGCTTATTCGTTTGTTGGTATTGACGTTCGACGCAGAGGTGTGTGATCTTTCTTGTTAAACAGATATTTTCGAAATAAGAAAATGTCAAAGACTTTGCACTGATATAGCAAAGTGCAGCTACCTGCAATATATATAATATAAACATAACGGGAATGGAAAATGAGCTTTCTCTCCCATTATTCAGCGCAGACAAATAAGTGTTTTCGAGGGGTTTATTTTCGTAGGCCAAAACTATTTGTGTTTGCCCAAAATATGCATCGGCCTTTACTTTTCTTAATATGGCGTTCAGCGATAGCAGTCAGTGCTCCTTACCGGACATTACTGAACAGTAAGCCTCGTCCGATTACGGCAAGAATATTTATAAGACAAAATAGGAAAAATAAATGCTTGGTGACCAAAGGGAAAAAAAAAATAGAGTTCGCATACATGTTTAATCTTTACAGGCATATTACCTAATTTCACTTGATATCCAACACCCGCATCAGCAGAACAACAACAGTAACACCTTTCATTGATTTAAAAGTACTGTAGGGGAGCTATATAGCTGAAAACATTATATCGGCCGGCAAACTTTAACGACGTCTGTAAGTACTACACGGTGTACTGTGTCTTTGGATATTCTCATACCCCCCTATCGTCAAGCCTCAACA